TGGAATGTAAAATGCTCCCCCTGCTGGGGCATGTCTGAGCGTTCACATCGCTTTCCTGGAAATGGGCTGCAGTTGCAGCAGCGTGTGTGTATCTGTGTGCTAGGGAAAAACAAAAATGCTATAAGTGTCCAGGAACGGACAGAGGTACATTCCAATTTATGGCTGCTCTCAATCAGTTGTTCTTTCATTACTCATCTGTGCTATAATAACCAACTGAAGGAATTGCACATGATTTTATCCCATTGTTACATTCGTATTCCACCCTACCTCCAGGAGTCTCAGGGCAGTGCATGTGCTATTCTCACAACCACCCTGTAAGGTAGGTCAGGTCCACAGAGGGTGCCTTGCCCAAGCTCAGCTTGTGAACATGGATTGGAACTCGGGTCTCCCCAGCTCAGACCAAAAATGCCACCTGTGGCACAGCATTATTGATATAATTCAGCCTTCAGATGTGTTTGACGACAGCTCCTGGCGCATCCCGAGGGTGCCAGGTTCAGGAAGACAGCAATAACTTGCTTGGTTGCATTCACTGGCCTTTGTGAATGAGCAGAGTAAGGCAGATGTTTTAATGTTTTGTTATATACATAGGTTAGGGGTTGCATTACCCACTCGTGCATTGTTCGCTTCCCAGGTAAGGGTGCTTCTAGACGAGGCACTCTCTGTGCTTTCGGGCTGCCTCATTCAGGGTTTTATGGGAGGTTCAGATGGCATCGTCTTCCACTTGCAATCCTCCTATGTTTTGCCACCCATGTCTTCCACCTCTTTTCTTACTGTCCCTCCCCCTCCCACCCCCCCAAAAAAAATCCAGCAAAGGGGAAAAGATGCAAAAGCCACCCAAAGCCTTCTGATCAGTTGCACCATCCTCCCGCCATCTGGAAGCACCTTAAGTAAGCCCTCAGATAGTTTTGAAGATAGACTTCTGGGCTGTGGAGCTCTACCCAGCTGTCCTTGTAAAGTAGATGGATGCCAGGCCAAATCACTGGAACATTTTCCAAAAGCTCCCTGGTGTTTCCTCTTGAAGGGCTCTGCAGTTTTACTGGGTGGATGCCATTTGCAGTCCCATGGGAGCAGCCGTCTTGTGTGAAGAAGACCACAGACCCGACCCCTGGCATCTCCTCCCTGAAGCCCTGGAGAACTGTGCGGCCAGTCAGCCTTGACAGTCCTGGGCCGATAGCCTGACTTGGCAGGAGGCATCTTCTTGTGTTCATCACTTCCTATGCTGTTCCCACTGACTTTCAGTTCAAATTAAAATTCTGCATGACTATAAGCCGAGTATGAATCCTGCCAGGCAGCACGGCACTTGGAATAATACTGCGGAAGCAACTATTTGCCTTAGCTTTGGGAAGAAATCCTGCAGATTCCCCTGTCAGCTGACTGATCATGCCCCGAAGCTTCAGTGGTCTGCTGACCATCCCTTGAAGTGGCTGTTGTCACAGCTGCAGAGTTTGCTGATGCAGGATTAGTCTGCTGCTCTTTCTGCTACACATGTGACCTTTTGTACGCTGTCCTCTCTTGACCCATCTTGGGCTGGCATGAATTTAAGCATCCTAAAAATAGCACGTAAGACCCAGCACGGGTTCTATGGATGGTTCAATAGAAATACCTTTACCACGGTGGAACAGGGTGGGGGGCACCCCCAGTCAACGCACATAGGGACCCCTGTAAAGGAATAGCTATGCAGGCAGACGGATTGTGTTGAGTGGGTTCTAGACCCACAGAGATGGAGCATTTTTAGGCAGTGAACTCAGTCAACATGTATTTCTGGCCAGCTCCCCTGACAGTGAACCCACACAAGCACCCAGAACATGAAGAAGGAAACAAAAATCTCTCTCGTTCATACATTGGAGATGTGTCCTTGCTTATCAATATAGAGAATTACACTTTTCAGGAACTTCTGCTTTGTGTAGTTTATCAAGCATAAAGCTATGAATGTGAGTGAGTGGCATCTGTAGGAATGCATCTGTTTGGCTGTAACCCTACAGACACTCACCTAGGAGTCCCATAGGATTTAGTTTCCAGCATAAATGCCTAGAATGTTGTGTTTATAATTATGCATCAAGAAAGTAAGGTGTGCGGAAACAAAATGGTGTATCATCCTGGAAACGTCCTACAGTCCTGATTTTGGCATATATACACTAAACGTAGAATGAAAAGATGTCCATCTTAATACAGAAGCAATATGGTGCTTGAGCACCTGTACAGATCTAGTTCCTAGCAGTTAGAATGGATTGGCAGCAGCATCTGGTGACGCTTTGCTACTGGTTTGATGGCTTACTACTTGGAAGGAAGGCCCACCCAGTTTAAGGGGAAATTGACAGGTATCTTGGCAGAGTATCACAGCTTAAATGTGCAGTTCTAAACACACCTGCTGGAAAGTAAGCCCACTGGACATAACATGATTTGCTTCCAAGTAAGCATACACTGGGATGCAAATTTACAATCAGAAGGAAATATCTATGCCTCAGTGGAATGAAAAGATGATGTTGCTTGGTGGATGATAATGTCTTGATTTAGCACATTTTGAGGCATGCAAGCTGTTTTGAATACAGTAAAACAGCTAGCCTGATCCTTTTATATGTGGGTTGATAGGAGTTGGACCAGACATCTGGAAGATACCAGGTTGAAGAAGGCTTCAAAAACATGTAAGACGGGCAGAGCAATTTGCAGTCTAGCAATATTTTGGCCTCCAACTTCCATCAGTCCTAGTCAGTGTAGCCAGTGGCAAGGGATGTTGGGAGTTGTAGGCCAAAGCAAGCTGCCTGGGTCTTATGTTAGACAATTCAGTATTATTATCATTGTGTTACAGAAGGGTGAAAAGAGGCAGCAGTGGGGAGAGGGTTGCCTTGGACTTTCCACTGGCTGAGTAGTGAATGGAATTAAGGTCTCTGGGGTCCAGGCTGGATCACCGAAGATGCTTTGCAGCCCCTCCACACAAGACCCAATTTATCACCAACTCACGATTCTTCCCTGCCTGGATATTGAATTAATAAAATGATGTTTATGAAACCACAACAGGATATACCCATTTTTCAGCACTTGGCATCAAGTAACATAGTATACAAAGGAAATTTTCTTTTACTGGTAGAAGGGATAACAATTGAATTCCTTGACCCTGGAGAGAAATATGCCTTTGATCCAACTCTCTGTTCTTCCAAGTTTTTCCCAGCTCTTCCTGGAAGCAAATGCCACTGGTGCATTTCATAGAAACGTTTACATAAATGCCCACTGAAGCAGCTTGGCCGTGCCCCTCATGGCCATTCCCACCATCCCTAACTTTACCCCATGTCTCCCTTAAAGCCCTGTTGTTCTGGAGCTCCTCAGGGGTCTGTTCTGTCCCCCATGCTGTTCAGCATCTAAAGGAAACTGATGAGTGGGGTCATCCAGAGCTTTGGAGTGCGCTGCCATCGGTATGCTGATGACACACGGCTCTATTTCTCTTTTTCTTCATCAATTGGTCAGGCTGTGGACATGTTAAGCTGATGTCTAGCCGTGACTGGATGCAGGCTAACAAACTGAAACGTTATCCAGACAAGGCTGAGGTGCATCCTCTGACCAGGTGGAGGGCATGCAATTTGTTCTAGATGAGGTTGCACTCCCCCTGAAGGAGCAGGTTCCTAGCTTGGGCAAGCTCTGTGATCCACCTTTGTCACTAGAGTTTTAGGGTGGCATTGGTGGCTTGGGGTGCCTTCTAGCAGCTTCGGCTGGGGGTCCAGCTGCACTGCTCTATGGGCAGGGATAGCCTGGTTTCAGTAATCTGCCCTCCATCAGTCTCTTAGTTAGCTTACTGCAATGCACCCTACTCAGGGCTGCTGCTGAGGATAGCTCAGAAGCTGCAGCTTAGGCAGAATGTGGCAGTCAGATTAATAACTGGGATCAGCAGGTCTGAGCATATAAGATTGGTCCTGGCCTGCCTCTACTGGCTGCTTGTATGCTTCTGGTCCCAATTCCAGGTGCTGGTTTAAACCTATAAAACCTTACATGGCTTGGGACCACGATACCTGTTGGAGCACCTCTCTCAACTGCAGTCTATAAGGATGCTACAGTCAACCTGTAAAAAGGTCAAGACCTTTTTATTTAATCAATATTTTAATATGCATTAATAGTAATTGGATTTTATTGTTTGTATTTTATTAATTACAGCCAGCGTGGGATAGTCAATTTATTTATTTTATTCTGATTTATGTCGTGAGCCGTCCAGAGACGCGAGTAACGGACAGCATACACATTTTATAAATTAATAAAAATAAATTTAAAAAAACCTGTGGGGTCTTCCTCTGAATGCCAACTCCGAGGAAATATCAGAGGGTGGCAACAAGGGGGAGGGCTTTCTCGGTGGTGGGCCCCCATCTATGGAACCACTGAAGCCTGCCTGGTACCAAACTTGTCATCTTTTCAGCACCAGGTTAAAATAGCCCTTTATGCCAAAACCTTTAAAAATGTACTCAGCTACCCTGGGGCTGGATGGGATTGTCCATTCCAGGTAATACGTTTTTTTATGCATTGTTGTGAACCACCAAGAAAGCTTTGGCTATGGAGTGGTGTAGAAACAAGATGAATAAATTAAATAAGAATCATTTTTTAAAAACCCATTTGTATGCTATCCTTTACGACAACGTCTCGTAACGTTACAATAATGTTTTTATGCTTTTGAAGGTTCTTCTTTTCATTGCTTTGAATTGTTGTATACCACATGGATGGCTTTTTATCAGATAAGGTTATACAGAAAAGCTGTTAATAAAAATGCCTGAACAATAAGTAGATTCAGTAGAAATGAGGGTGAAATCAGGTAACTGTCCCAGTCAGTGTGGCCTGGAGATTGGATAAAGGGCAAGGCTAGCTGTAAGCCGCAACCAGCATTGTTCTCCCATGGGTGAAGAGGGTTGTAGGGGAAGAAAAGGAGGTGGAGATAAAAGGAGACTCCGAAGTGCTGTGGCTTTTCCATCTCTAATGCAGCATTATTTCTCTGCCATTTCATAGCATGATATCTTTGCTTCCTGCAGGTCAGATCTTGCCCACAAACCGAAACACGCCAAGTCCAATTGATCCAGAGACCATTCAGGTTCCAGTGGGGTATGAACCGGACCCCTCTGATCTCGCTCTTTCCAGCATTCCGGGTCAGGAGATGTTTGATCCTCGCAAACGAAAGTTCTCCGAGGAAGAGCTCAAGCCACAGCCAATGATTAAAAAAGCCCGCAAAGTCTTCATTCCAGAGGATCTGAAGGTAAGTTGGGGCTGGTGCCCACGCCAGGGAAACACTTGGGCAGGGCAGGGCAGGATGGCCTTCTACATGAGCTGTTCTGGTGATTTCCAGATATCTTGAAGTATTTCAATACTTTGGCCATCTTCACTTCTTTGTATGAAAAATCAGAGTGACGGACATGGGCTCCCACTCCATCCTGTCCACCTGAGCCCAAATCTCTGCAGTGGAAAGGATGGCCATTGCACCATTCAAGAATTATGTGAATACAGAAGTTTTTAAAGGATTGAAGAGCAAACTGGCTTGAAGACAATGAACGGCATAGCCCTTACAAATGAGGGACAGAATGGACTTCTGGTTGAAAGGTCTTGGTGGGAACCCATAATATGGCATGACCTATGGTAGAAGATGTGTGGGGGAACCAGCCGTAGACCCTCTAGTCCACTCCCCACCCCAGAGCATCCCTAACAGGTGGCTGTCAGCTTCTGCTGGAAGACCTCAAGGGAGAAAGGGCCCACCACCCTTTCCCTATCTGCTCCTGTTGTTCCCCAGCTTTTCTCATCAAAGCATTCCTCCTGAGGCTTGATTGAAATCTACCATCTTGTAATTTGAGATCTGAAGGTGCAGAATACAGTCATCTTTTGGAAATTAAGCTGGTTTATATTTGGTGGGTATTTACATAGGAGACCACTTTAGAATTCTGTATGATGTCTGTGAACTGAGAATTCTTACTGAGGAGCAATATGCGATGGTCTGTAATAAAACAAGTACATCACCTCGAGTTCTCTCATGAGAGAACAGTGGGATAAGCGAGTTCCCAGTTTTCTGTGTGTGTCCTTGGAAGACAGGCTTGAGTTTTCTTAGACTTTGATTTGCCACCTGTAGAACAGGTGAGATGTGTGTCTCCATCGGTAGAATTCCAAGAGTAGCCCAGTCAGGATTCCCTGTGCCTAAAGGGGCTCCAACACTCTACTTTTGTAATAGCTGCCCTTCCCCCTTGCAACATACTCAACTGTTTCAACCTGGAAGGCGTTTCAAAAGCCATTTCTGGTATGATCGCCACATGTTTTAGAATTCGCTCCCAAAAGCCTGCTACCAGTGGGACCAATGGTCAGGAACGGAAGGTGTTAGAATTTCTGAACGCCTGTTGATCTCTTTGCCTACCAGGACAGACTCTGATTCGGCTGCACTCAGAACTGGGAATTAAGCAAGCCTTGGTGGGACTCCTTGAATTGTAATCCTACAATTGACCAAAGCTCAGAGTCAAGCAAAGAGAGGTGGGAGGCCAGCTTTACACTCTGGAAAGTGCCTTTCAGGGACATTCTGTCCTCTCTGTGGATCTGATGTCAGGCAGAATGAGCTCAAATGTTTTAAATTGCACTGAGGCAGCCTCCTCCTTTAACAACCTAGCACTGCAGCCCTGGAACTTTCACATTTCCCCGAGAAGCACCATGTGCATAACCATATAGGCTCCAGAAACAAGAACCTGAGCCAGTGTAGTGGTAGCTGTTAGAGTGTTGAGCCAGGACTTGGAAGCATTGGGTTTTTGTCTCAGGCTTTTGCACTTTAGACCAGACACTGAATCTTAGCTTAACCTACCTCACTAGGCTGTTGTGAAGATAAAATGAAGAGGAAAGGAACCATGTCAGCCACCTTGGGTTCTTTGCAAGAGGAAAAGAAGACAGGATTTAAAAGTAGTAATAAATAAAACATATCTGGGGTACAGAAGCACAGTGAGGCAGAGCAGTGGAGGGAGACCCCCAGCAGGGGCCAAGAAGCCCTTGAGAAGGTTCCCTGCAAGGGGCTGGCAGGAATTTCCCTCAACTTCTGTTTGGGCTCTGCGCTCAAAGGCCCTGACTCAGTTGGGCAGCTCGTGAGGTGCGCCTCACTTGTGCCAGCAAGCCAGCATGGCAGTTTGGCTGCTGCTCTGAGTGGAACGCTTAGCCAAAGCTTTCTGGCCAGTCCTGGTCCCCTCGTGGAGACTGGTCCCTGGGTTCTGGAAATGGGTAAGCAGATTAAGTCAGTCAATAGTCTCTGGGATGCATGTGATTCTCAGATGCCAAGCTGACAACTTTCAGGCCCGGATTAAAGGATTTTCCTGTGTAATTTGTTAAAATAAAGATGTACATGGCCTGGATACCTCAGGAATGAATTGAACTTAAAGCTGGTGTGTGTATGTATGTCTTCACAGAGGAAGGAGATGGGAAATTAGAAACCAGGATGTAGCTTATGAGGAGGTTTTCCTTCCTCTCCCCTGCCCATAGAGAGAAGAAAAGGAAGATTTCGGTAGCAGGCCTCAGGACGGAGCAAGGCAATTTGGATCCATAGTACAACTCTAAGGATTGCTTCAGATCATGCCAATGTTCCTTCTGGATAGTATGCAGAATCTGAATGCAGTCTATGAAGAGCATTTAGAAAAGGCACAAACGTAGGAGATGGGACCATAGAAAAATTAAAAATCAGAATGTAAGCCCATGCTATTTAGGGTGGTGATGTAGTGGAAAAGTCTGAATTCAAGGAATTCTTAATAATGATCCTGTTCCCTCCTAGCTGGAAGAATCTACAGTTTTGCCTCCCATTTTATATCCTGCCTTTCTATATGATATTCAAAAGAGCAAATACCCTGTTAAAAATTCCAGCATCAAGCACAGACATTCCATAAAATCAGGATCCTGTTGGGTTTATGGGATCGTTACCTATGAGTAAGTTCTCTTGCTCCCTGTGGCACTTCTGACCACCTGGGTTTGACTAGTAAAACAGATGGAGATGGGAAAGATCTGACCACCGATAGATCTGCTTTTAGCTCTTAATTAGAAATGCAAACAATCTCAAAGAGTACTGTTGCCATCTGAAGTACAGACAGCATTAAAAGATCAAGGCAGGAAGATCCAGCCTCTGCTTGATTATTTTCCTCCAACTTCCCCTGTGCTAGGCTGTTACAAGCAGTAGTAAAACTGGAAAGCTTTGTTACCACCTTTACTTGCTCACCAAGGAGCGCCCCTGTTCCCCAGCCAGTGGTATATGCAAGCATGCTGCTGCTGTTCAGGGTGTCTAGTTTGGATGTGCAAGGTACTTGGAACCCTGCGGATAAAAGCATCTGCTAGCAACCCATCCCATGTGGTAAGGAGCTGCCTTATCTACTGAATTCTAATCCTTCTGTCTCCCCCTCTGTGATTAATGAGCAGGATGACAAATATTGGGCGAGGCGCAGAAAGAACAACATGGCCGCCAAGCGATCCAGAGATGCCCGGAGGCTGAAGGAGAACCAGATCGCCATCCGCGCCTCGTTCCTGGAGAAGGAGAACACAGCACTGCGCCAGGAGGTGGCAGACCTACGGAAAGAGCTAGGGAAGTGCAAGAACGTCCTGGCCAAGTACGAAGCCCGGCACGGCCCTCTGTAAAGGGCATTTCCCCTCCTTTCTGTTCCCCCCTTTTTGTGGGTTGGCATTTGAAGAGATGGGCAGCGTGTGTCCTGCTTGATAGCCCCACACCCAAACCAACCTTTCAGTCATCAGCACTTTACCGGAAAGCAGAAACAAATTCAATGTACAACTTCTGTGTGCACGCGTGTGCGTGCGCGTGTGCATGTGCACGCGTGCACGGGCGTGTCTGTGTGTGAGTGTGCATGTGCATCTCGGCACTTCCTATTTTTATGAAACCCTCTCCGCTGGGTGACGTATTTTCACTTGGGGTGCTGAGATCTGCCATAAGTAAGCTTTTTATTAAATATATATGTGTGTGTGTGTGTATGTATATATTTTTTCCAGTGCTGCTTCAAACTAGGTATTTTTATCTTATCCTTTACCTTACTCTTGATTTAACTTGGAAAAAAGACAAAAAGGAATCCCAGACTAAATAGAGGAGAAAAGAAAGTGGGGGGAATCTCTTTTCAAACTCTTGTTTAAGTAGTCCTAATCAAACCATTTTAACTCGCTACTAAAGATGCACAAATGACATTGTTAAATGCTGCACTGCAGAAATATTAAGTTATAGATTTTCTTCCTTTCTTTTTGTTTTGTTGTTGTGTTCTTAACCTTTGGTAATAAAATATATCTTCAGATATACGGTGCGGTCAATAGTTCTCCGCCTGTGGTCAATAGTTCCCCCTAAGGAACCGTTAAGTTTCCTTTTAGCTGCTGTAAAACAGAAATAAGTTTATAAAAGTGCTACAGTTAGATCACAGTGTATATTTTTAATTTTTTTTTCTTTTTGCACCCTCTGAACCTAAGCAATCGCCCTGTTGCCCGCTTGGACATGTTATCTGCAGTGTTCCTGGTGGACATAGGATGACTGCCCTACCTAATAAGATAACATGCACGGTTGCTTCTGCAACAGAAATGGTAAATACTTACTGATCAGCTACTACAAGGATTTCTGAAATGGGCGAAAGCCATGAACCAGAGATCCTTGCATGGCCAGTCCAAGCTTAGGTGAATTGAAATTTAGCTTCCCCCTTCTGACTTCCCTCTTTTGCTTTATGACCTACTCAAATTATCAGGAGCTGATAAGGATGCTATTTTCTTATTTGCATTTTTAATCTTCTACAACTGTGGCCTGGTTGGCATGTAATCAGCAACCTAGAATATGGGTTCCCATTTAATCATGGGTTGTCTCTGAATCATGGATTGTAGTGCAAACACTGCACTGTTGTTCAACAACCCAAGAAAAACCCATAATGTGTTGCTAGCTTATGAACTAGCGACGACAGCCTAGAGTAATTACTCCAGCCTGGTTAGCAGCCTGGAGTAATTCTCGCCACGCTACAACAGCAACCCATACTCAGCTTGTACTCTGGGATGTTGTTACATCCGTTACATTTTTTGCACCTCCGGGAGTCAATGGAGATCTGAAAACTCTCAGCCGCATCTCCTGGAATTCAGGGGATTTAAACTCAGCCAGTGATCTGCTATGCTGTGTCTTTGGACCACCTCCCATAGGACAGGCGGCCCTTGCATTTTGGCTGCCTGATTTAGCCATGATGGTCAGGCTGGCTCTGGGAGCACATTCTGCAACTGTGTATGTGGATATCCATCCCTTTCCCTCTGCTAGGTATACGATTGGTCTAGACTGAACACCTGTTAGCGGGAAGAGGGCACGGTGGCACATGGATGTGGTCCTCTGCCCAGTCGAACACTCGTGATGTTTAAGGTAGACCGATGGCTCTTGCTAGAATGTGTGTATGGAAAACTCAAGATAATTCATTGGAGAGAGAGAAAAAAATGAAATCTTTAAAATAACCATTGGCTTTGGAGTGCTGGGTTTTTTTTAAATATATATTCTTATTGATGTTTGCATTTCTCAAGGTCCTGTTTTTGTGCGTAAAGATTTTAAATGCAGCTTTTTATTCAGTTTTTTTCTGTAATATATTTTCTGTGGAATTCTCCCTTGATTTTTTCACAGATGGTTCTGACTCAGAAGTCATTTTAGCAAATCCTGCTTTTTCTTGAGATGTTGTTTTGATTGTATAATGAAGCTGATGGTTCTCAAACTTTCTCCAGTTGTTTTTCGCTTTGATTTGCTTTCCAAACTTGTGTCATGTTATAGAATGAACTTTTGGGGGGTGGGATGAGGGCAAAAATGAATGTAAAAGATGCAGGTTTATATTGAAAGGTGATGGTGTTGTCATACTGTGGTTAATCCAATCCATTTAAATGTTTTCTGAAGACCAAATGAAATTATTATAAAATGTATAAAGTTTATACGGAATCATTAGAGTGTGCTCTTTTTTGTACAGTATTTTTCAAGGACAAATGCTGACTATGTATTCCAGGAGAGAGAAAGAGCATTATGTATAGCATATGTTAAGGAAAGAGGAGGGGTGGGGGAAGGAAAATACAGGGATTGCATATTTAAAAATAAAGCAAAGATATATTTCTTTATATATTCATAAATATGGTACAGGGAGGAAATGCTTTGGGGTGCTTTTTTCCTTTGAAAACTCTATTTTATGCTTACCACTGAAACATTAGGATGGTTTTGTGCTTTAAGTCAGGGTGCAGCCCATCTCTCTGCAAGGTCCACTAGTCGTGTGTCCGGCTCGGCAGAATGCGCTCTGTTTCCTTGGTTAGCTCCCTGCTCTCCTTAGCGTGTCCCGCCTCAGCACATGTGCAGAGCACAGAAAGCATGCGAGAAGGCCGTAACCGCGTGGAGACAGGCAGTGTGACAGCACCCTCTTCTAAAGGAGGCTGGAGCGACTCACTTCGTGCAGGCAGAAGCCACCAGCTGTTTGTTGACCAGGACGCCAACAGACCAAACAGGAAAATGAGAGTACAAGGCCAGAGCAGGTTGAGCTAGGCTAGCATAGTGTAGTGAAGACTTAACATTTAACCTGATCTTTTCACAGTATTACAGGGAGATACGTACTTACCTGTCTTTGCTGATGGCAGGGCACTGCAATGCGTCGAAGGGAATGTAGCTCTCTGAAGCTCCATGCAGTCCCTCCGTGCAGAGGCGACTGTGTCCAAGTGGGGTAGACAGTGGCCAAAATATTTTATGAAAGTGAAACAGTTTGCCAGGGTCCTTAGTATTTCCAAATCTTTCCTTTAAAAATGCAGTGAATTTATTTTGCTATGAACAGAATAAATGATGTGCACTGTGATGTTTGTGATAGGGGTTGACGCACAGCTGGGTTGAGGACGATGGTACTGATTCGCTGCTACGGCAAGGAATAAGCTTTTAAGGGCAGGGTTCATAAAACAGTGGTTTGTGCAGAATGCGGTGGACCTCTCTAAGGGAGCTTGGGCTGTGGAGGCCTGAGTGCCTCCCTCTCCCCACCCAAAGGATGTCACATTCACACAGTCAATAGTCAGTGCAGTATAGTAGGCCAAGGGTAGGCAACTGGAGCCAGCAGATGATTTGGATAAACACCCATCATCCCTGACCATGGGCCTTGCTAGCTGGAGCCCATGCAAGCTGTAGTCCAAACCACCTGGAAGGGACCAGGTTGGTTACCTGCATAGCAGAGCATAGGATGAATGCTTTGAGAAGGATCCATAGGCATCGGGGTCATCTCACACATACACAAAGGCAAAAGGCTGGCCACCAAGAGACTGCTCAGCAGGGAGCCACATCGAATCATAAGCCTGTTTGTCACATTCACACGTGACCCTTTCAGCAGTAAGCTGTAACCTCCTCCAGATGTTCCCCTAAAATGTAATTTGGGTTTCGGTTGCACTGTATTCCCACGGAAGTCACCCGAGCTCAAGGCACATGGACCTTTTTCTTAATGTGTACACCCGTATCACCCCTTTCTGTCAGGATTCCATGGAAGACACTGCCTTTGCACGTTCACTCTATTCCTTTTGTGCTGGAGACTTGGGACTTTTCCTTGCCCACCCCTGCAAGTTGGCACACCGCCTGGTGAACTAGCTGTGCTCTTCTGCCTTTGTGCCCTTTGAGCAGCCTGCCCAGAATTAACTATCACTCTCTCTGTGTGTGTGTGTGTGTGTGTGTGTTGCACATCTGGAAATTATGGTGCTACTTGCCTTCCTAGATGCAAATGTTTTTGCATTCCACAAAAATGGCTTGACCTGAAGATTTAGACAAAATTGCCTAATTCAGATTGAGGCAATTCTGTTTGCCATGCTCCCGGGTTTTACCATCTTGAACATTTATCCAAAATGTTGTAATTGTATTATTGGACCTAAATTTCTGTGGACCGTTAGCTAATTGGATTTAATACACTGAAGATATCTAGCCAGAACTGCAACCCCCCAAGCAGTTAAAAAGTAGGAGTATATGGTATATATTGTATTTAATAAAAAATACTTAGATGGCACTTAATGTATAATTTCCACTGAGTGTAAAACAAAAGTAATCCACATACAGTTTAGCACAACTAAGTACCAGGGACACTAGTGGGAGAGGTTCTGTGAGGACCTCCCTTCTGTTAAAATCAGTGAGATCAAAGACAGTCCAATGCACATTTCAGCAGACAAAAATCCTACAACTCTCAGTATGTGCCAGTGAGGATATTTCTCTCTCTAAACATGCATAGAATTGTACCCTAAGAGTGCAACCCTGTACGTATCTACTCAGATGTAAGCCCTATTGCATTTAGTGGGACTTACTCCCAGGTAAGAGGATTGCAGCCTTAAAAGTGCTTTATTTGCACTTATGCCCAGGGTTTTAAGAAATGCCTTTCCTTTTCTATGCTTTTCAATATAGTGGACACATTATTAGCAGCAAATACTGCATTTTGAAATACCTGTGAATGTACACAATCCTATCATCTGGTAATTGTGACGTGCTGTTTGAGTATGACTGCAGACACAGGTCTCATGTTTACAATGAGTATTCTGAGTGTCACAAGTAATAGGAATGAGCAAACATGCACTGTTTGAGTTTGTTGAGGTCACCCAAATTCTTCCTTGGAATTTATTCTGACTCCTAGGAAAATAATTCCTTGGAGCCCAAGACATGACTGTTTCACCAAACTTATTCTGAATTGTAAAGCTGGGTGAATGAAGGGGTCCCCCCACCCCAGTCCATCCTTAGCTGGTAGATTTCAGTGATGTATTTTGAGCAGCCTTAACAATTCACCTTGATCAGGAATTCCACGCAGGCGAATACATGTACGCCAGTGGCAGACCCAGGCAACTGCTTCAGACAGTGGATTTGGGTGTTATGAAAAGTATGGTGCTGGTTATGTAATTTATCTTGATTGTCTTTTTTTCTCCCAGGAAGCAGCACTTGTCGGCTTGTCTATTTTAGGAGCTGCAGTAACTAGCCCTAAGTGTTACATGCCTAGACTTGGGAAGTGAGGGCATTGGCTGTTGTGCTTCAGGTGGAAAAATAGCTCGGGCTGGCCCTGATTTCATGGAATTCCATGCAGGCAGGTGAGCAGGCTGCAGAGAGGGCGGAAGTTGCTCCAATCCTCTGCCACTGCCGGTCTGTTTGATTTCCACACTGGCCACAAGGAGGGAAGCGTTTAGCAGGAAAAAAGAGCTTAGCAACCCCCATGGAAGCAAACGGAGTGGCAGAGCAGGGACAGATCATCCACGGGCCCAATTGGCAGGTGTCTTTTTCCCCTCTTCTTTTACTATTGTAAAGGCTCAGCAGCCTGTGTTTGGCCAGTAGACTGACCAGCAGAGAAAGACAGGCTATTCGTCTGTTAATAGGCTAGCATTATTATTCTTGTTAGTATTAGTATTAGCTGGGGATGGGTTTTGTTTTGTCTTGTATGTGTGCGTAGGTAGTAACTTTCATGGGTTTAGTCACAAGGCTGATAGAGAGGCATTGAGGAAATGCATTCTTGGTTGCTTATTTTACTCCAAGGCCTGCATGTTCCTTTGCAGGCACAAAGATCTACCGTAGACCTTGTGCTCCTGGATTCAGCAGTGCATCTAAAAAGTTAAATGTTTGAAAAAGCCACTGGTTGTTGGTATGGTTCCAAGGTATGATTCTTAATTTTCGAGGCAGGCCAGTTGCGCACAGTTACACCGTGTAAACAGTGGCAAATTGGGGGATGCCTCCTGTGTGGAAAAAACAGGTCACCAGAAATCCCGAGGGGCTCTGTTCCATGCTGCTCTAAGTTAAATTCCATTCCTTTTGGAAGGAGTGATCTAAACAGAACTAATCTGAATACAACCCACAATATCTTAACCAGGTGCCCATGTTCAGTCCATAAGCCCTCAGAACCCATTTCACTCGCTTGCCAGGATCCTGTTTTGATTCTCGGCATGCTTGCCCGGTGGGGAGCTTCTTTAACGAGAGCGAACAAACCTAGTCAGGGAAGCAACTTACCTGTGATTACGTTGCAAGGAGGACAGCTGCCGCAGGAGTTCCGGATGCACAGCGAGCGAGGGCTGGGGCTGGACCAGTGATTCAGATCCTGCCCCAGGCCATGGCACCCAGGATAGCAACAGCTTGGGCATCGCAGCCACCTAGACTTGCATGGGCTGGAGGGCCGACCTGAGGCCCATGGTGAGAGGATAGGGCAGGCATCTCTCTGGAATCTCCCACATTCCCCGAAAGCCCCAGCCAGGCCAGCTTGCCTGGGAATGTTTCTGGTTGTGACTCCTGGAACCAGCCGCTAGAATGAACCCTTGAGCTATGCCACAACAGGGGAACTTGGTGCCACCAGGTGTGGTTAGGCCCCATCTCCCATCAGCCCCAGCCAGCATGGCCAGTGGTCAAGGAGAATGGGAACTGCAATCCAACCGCATCACAAAAGGCACAAGTGTTCCCCTCCCATTCCTGCCAATGGCCAATAGTCCAGGTTTAGTCTAGTGTCCTCAGTCGCCTGTCACTGTGGGCTCTGTTGAAGACCATGCGCTTCTCCCTTCGAGGCAGCTGTGATTTGAGGAACAAAATGTAGCGTTATCTTCTGAAGAAGTCTTCTCTGGGGGGTCCTCAGCCATTACTCTCACCTGGAAGAGTGTGTGTGTGCACATGCATGTGTGTAGCTTCCAAAAAGGATGAATTGGGGGTGGCGGGGAGATTAAATTTTTTAAAAAGAGAAAGTATGTATTTTTTTCTCTCGCTCTCCTGTGATCAATCATGGTAGTTCCGGCAACACCACATGACTGCCTCTTGTTCGTAAGAGTTTAACAAATCAGATCAAATTAAATGTATGTCATGAAACAGATTTGTATTCTGTATGCTTTTCAGCCCAGTTCTTTCTGTCTGTTATTCTTTAATGTTTAATTAAAAAAATAAGTTTTTTTTACTCTTGGGTGCCTGTTTTTCCTACTTCAGGAGGGAAATCAATGGAGGTTTAATCAGCCTCTCCCCACTCCAGCTTCCATTTTGGCATGGTTGTTGTCTGCAGTAAAAAGCCCCCCGTCCCCAACCTGGTGCCCACCAGGTGAGTTGGATTATGGTTCCCCTCGTCTCCAACAAACATGGCCTTCCATCACGCTTGCTGGGGAGATGGGAGCTCTACTGCAGCTCACCTGGAGGATGCCAAATTTGAGAAGGCTGCCCCATACGGAGTGTTTGATGTGGGGCAGAAAGACCCCGATGAAGATCCTCACCTGTCTGGGCAATTTGTGAGGTATCCTTGCAGCAACATCTCTCTCTCTCTTGGCCTCTGTTGCTGGATAATGATGAAGACAAAATTAGGGATTCGCATGTAAGATCCTCCAAAGAACTTGGAAGGCTGGAAAAGCGATATCAGGGAGAACCACAATGGAGGGTAATATGTCCCACTGGAGAAAAAGACTGAGGACAAAGGCAATCTGGTCTGAATATGCTTGTTTACTCAGCAGCCAGGTAGCAACGCAGGGACTATATTTCGCCTTTGCTTCCAGAACAATAGCAGCAAAACCGAGGATCAAGTAGTAAGAGCAATCTCATGCGCTTTGACAGAAGTAACTCCTACCATTTCCAGCTTTGCCCAGCCAATGGGTGGCAGGGGAAAACTGGGAGCTGCCGCTATTATTGCATCCCTTTAGCCCATTTCTTTGGCTCTTGTGAGGAACCCAAGATGGCTGCTCTTCATTTTATCCTCACAGCAACCCTGTGAGGCTGACTAGTCAGAAAGTCGCACAACCGGCCCAAAGTCGCCATGAAGTGGGGTGAGAATCTACAGCCCAAATCTCCGTCTGTCACTCTAACCGCTACACCTCAGTGCCTGTTGTAGGACTTTTTCTGCCTAAACATGCAAAGGCTTGCACCTTAAATGAATCTAGAATGGAGAAACCTGTTCCCCAGAGGTGTAATTACTATTATTACTTTAAATCCAGGAACTAGGAATGACACAAACAGGGAAATTAGAGTCAGTAGTCATTTCGGGTGTGGAAACGGGAGCTGAGTCATGCTGATTAAAAAGACAGCATGGAGGTGCAGGTATCGCAACCACAATTTCTAGGGCATCCACAACTATATTAGTCTCTTTTTCTCTTGCATGCAGCCGCTCCAGTGCAATCCATTCACAATCTTGGCCGCTAAATAATGCCCACATCTTTCCTGGGCAAACCTGTGACTCTACATATTTTACCAATTTGCTCCTCAGGTTGTGGCGTCCAAGCCCAGTCAGGGTGAGGTACTGTTGCAATTTAAACCAGTTGGCAACCACAACAAGACACCACAATCTGTTCCAGGGTTTCTCGCTGCCACGGCTGTCGTGTCATCCAAACTTTGACAGCAGAACACATTGTGGTAGAAACCCCAGAACAAGGGAGCTGCTTGGCCAGATTGGTGGTTGCCCCATTTCTGGAGGAGGAGCTGGGCTCCCTGAATGATGCCCCTCCCTTAGGTCTGAGAGGAACCCTCTCCTATGCAAGCTGGAGAGGGGAGACCCGCTTATTGGTCTTGTGGGTGAAGTAAGGGAGAGACTTATCCGTCTTCATCACTGGCACATGCTTGGTTCATCTTCGCTCCCACTGAGACGCATTACTTGAATGCTGCTAGTGATCAACCACATGTTCTCAGGGCTTAAGAGATCTTACTGCAGGGCAACCCGCCCAGGTCATTCTATTCACACAAATCCTAGCATCAAAATTACACAGCTGGAAGCCACCTTGGGGGACATCTGGACCAGCTCCAAAACTCATTCCAATGGATGGGCAACATCCATGCACTACCTTAACCACAGATATGAAAGAGATGAGAAGAACCCAAGGATATGTTGGAAAAGTGGCTCTTGCTCAGTGGCTTCCAACAAATTAGATGGTTTGGGGTTTTATTCTGGAATGTTGGTGGACCAGGAATGGGAAATTAAGTCATTATTATGCAAGAGTGTGGCATTGACTGCACATCAATGCAGGGTACAAGATAATAATGCCTTATTACAGGTCATGGCTTGTTGGCCGCTCCTGCCATCATGCATGGAACAGGAGAGCTCCTTCCCTGAGCGGGACATAACCAGCCATCAAGATATCTCAACAAGGTCCTGCCACTGAGCTAAAGCACCCCCTAGTGGTACCATGTTGAATAGTTTACACCCATCTTCCCCAGTCTGGTGTCCAGCTGTTTGGAGAACACTCACCATTCCTGGCCTTTGGCTGTGCGAGTTGGAGCTGCTGGGAGCCATAACCCAAAATACCTGGTGGGTCCCATGTTGCGGAAAGTTGACTGACGCCCACTGGATAAAGGAGAGATGAGCATGCTCACACATCAATGCACTCACTGATGTAGCAAATGGGCCTTCTTCACATGATCAAGGAGTCACATGTGTGGAAAGCTGAGAGGCAATTTAAGCTGCATTCCCAGTTCCACAATCACAGTACAGAGGCATGTTTGAAATGTGCATGGATTTGTTTATTCATTTATTGAATGTAAGTGGTTACCTGACAGAGCGCTTACGTCCATATATGCCCGCCCGCCCCTTGAGATCTGCGGGAGAGGCCCTTCTCCGGGAACCCTCCGTGAAGCATATTAGGAGGGTGGGTACTCGGAGGAGGGCTTTCTCTGCGGTGGCGCCCAATCTATGGAATGCGCTCCCCAGAGAGGTCCGCCTGGGGCCGTCGTTATTTGTTTTTCGGCGCCAGGCGAAGACCTTTTTATTTAAGCATTATTTTAATTGTTAATATTATTTATTTATTTTATTCTTTGGCCAGGTCGACTCCAATTATATTGTTTTTATATTGTGATTATTTATTGATTGTTGTGAGCCGCCCCGAGGCTTCGGCGAATGGGGCGGCATAAAAGCTTCCTAAATAAATAAATAAGTGCATAGCTTGATCTTGGCAAGATCAAAAGCAAGCAATCTTAGAAGACTAGCATCTAATGGCATGACCATACCAACCCCGTTCCTCTTCATACCAGTGGGCTGACCTCCAGGGGAAACATCCATCCACGACATGGACACCACTGTAAGGGGTCCTGTCAGCCACCATTGTACAGGCAGGTCTGGTGCTCACTGTGGGCAAAACGTGCTCCATTTCCCCTGAGCAGCTGCCAGAGCCTTGGGGCAATGGTGCCGATACACGCCCTGCCGTGGGGTGCTGCCAGCCGCCACTGTGATTTCTCACAACACTTCTGAGGCAGTGTCACTCCAAGGCACCTTTTTATTTAAGCGGCATTTTAAATGTTAATATTATTGAATTTTATCTGGCCAGGGCGGCTTATTTTATATTGTATTTTTGTATTTTTAAGCTAATGTTTATATTTTTTTAATTTAAGATTATAATTATTTTAATTTATTGTTGTAAGCCGCCCCGAGGCTTCGGCGAATGGGGCGGCATAAAAATGTTTTAATAAATAAATAATAATAAATAAGTTCCATACCTGCTTGGTGCTCTCACCCACATTGCCAGGTAACCCACCAAGCTAGGAATGATCCCATTGGAAGGCCCTCTCAGAACTAGCGATCACCCTCCACACAAGGGCTTGCTGCACATCTTGGGGTTTTCCTCCACATTACTGCCACTTCCTTCCTGAGGGTACAGCAATTCCCAGCAATATGCAGTGGTGATGGCCCCTGGCCTAGACAGCCTTAAAGGGGAATTAAAACAATCGTAGCAGAGCAAGAGCAGGCGAGCAAATGAGCAGCCTATGGAAGGTCAGGGCAGTGTCGGGCAGCTCCTGGGATCAGTTGCACCGTGCGACTGTCTTTCTGTTGCTCAGGAGCGATGGGGGAAGAGGTGTTTCTCTCATGTCCTGAGACACTTGGGTGGTCACAGGAGAAAGCAGGATGTGGGCTCGATCAGAGGAGGGCAGCCTCTGGCCTGCTGATCCCCTCTGGCCTGCGGGAGTTGCTCAACTGGCCTGTGGAGGTGTGTCTCCCTCCATCCCTAAGCACCATCCCTACCAGGTGCTTGTGAGAAGGGCAGGAGATCGTGGTGGAGGCCAGCAACACCGAGAAGAATCCCCTTCTTATGGTGGAGATGAGAAGAGTGGCAGCGCCACCTGCCCTGCACCGTCTCCTGGAGGGAGGGAGGCATGGGCCAGACATCAGCGTAGCCTAGATGGGGAAGGTGCCCCAGGCAGCAGCTCCGGTTTTTGGAGGCCACATCGTGAAGAACATCCTGCCAACACACCCACTAAGGAGGACCCAATGGCAGAGTGCATGGCCGCATCCCCAACATCATCCAGCCTGTGTGGCACTTGACCAGGGGTCCCCCACTCCCCTTCTCTTGCTGGGCCATCCTCAGACTAGACGGACCTTTGGTATGATCCGGGCAGGATCTTCTCATGTGGACTTTCCCGAGGGGGAAAACTTCTGCCAGTGGGTGTCACGGAGCTATGAAAAGCACAGGAACCATCCCGGTTCTTCCACAGGTTCTCCATGCACCTTAAGTCAAAGGGCAATTGCACAGGATTAAGATGGCGCCCTACCCTGAGAGGGTCTACTGAGAAAGACAGCAGGTCTTCCCGAGGTGTGTGAGCAGCACCTCCGAGACCCGGCAGCCCGGGCTGAGCTCCGTCTGTCACAACACCGAATGCTGCTTCCATTTGCTCAGGACAGGCTATTAGCTGCAAATTCATTTTCTGTATAAACAGCAGTAAATCTACCTGATGCAGCACTCCCGTGTGTAATTGGTTACTCTTGCTTGACTGTAATGTGGAAAGTGGGAACATAATCTTCTGAAGGGGAGGGCATTATGCCGGCTGGCTGCTTTCCTGGAACCGCGCAACAGGCCTTGAGCCTGTTAACAAGCCACTTTCAGAAGAACAACAAGTGATCCTCTTCCCACTTCACACCCCCTCCCCAGTTAGCCAACTTCACTTCCCACACCTCTAAGTGCAAGTGATCAATAACCTTTCAGGCCCTCCCTACCCGCT